AACTCTTGCCTCCCTCCCACTACCCTAGTCTTTCTTATCAAAGAGGGATCTGAGTACTCAAGACAGTAAGGGTCAAAACCTTGCTCCCACTACCCTGGCAAATTTCTTGTCCTTTCTGTGTCTCAGATTCCTCCTCTGCTACAGAGATAGAAATAGTATCTACGGGCCTCCCCGGTGGCGCAGCGGTTGAGCGCTGGGTTGCAAAGCTGCCGGCGACCTCTGAGGTGCCGGTTCGATCCCCGGCTGCTCCCCGGCCACCAGAGGAGGGTCCCACATGGCGTGCAGACCTCTCCTGCCGCCCGCTGCTCCCCTCAGCAATGTGTACTTCGGTCCTTTGCTGCTCTGCTCCTCGCTCTGGCTCTGGTGAATTCTCTCACCCTCCCGCGCTTCTGACTGTACCCAGTGCATGTATTAAACAAAACGAACGAAAAACAAACAAATAAATAAATAAAAACATGCCTCTATAAAAAAAAAAAAAAAAAGTACGAGATGTTTAATTTAAAAAAAAAAAAAAAAAAGAAATAGTATCTACCTCTTTGGACAGTTTTAAGGATTAATTTTACATTTATACAGCTGCACAATGACTGGCACACAGTACATATTTGATTATTATTATGTATTTGTAACTATACATTTTGTGGAAAGTTGATTCTGTTATTTATGCACCCCCCCTCCTTGCTAAAACGATTTACAAGCTGCATCCAACAATCAAGCCTATATCTCCAACACTGTGGGATTTCATGCATTGAACAATTTCCTCAGCAACTAAATAACCTGTCATACTGTCATTTGGTGAATGTGTTATAACTTAGAAAACAAGGTCTCTGAAAATACAGTGAGCACCAGAGAAACCTCTAACACAGTATTTGGGGGGAAAAATTCCCAACTAGGATTCTTACTTCAAGGATTTCTCTTTATAACCTCTGCGGTATTCTAGATCTATGTATTGAATAGGTGTAAATTTCTGTCTCCAAGACAGGACAGAAACATCTGGGTATTTTCTGCAGCTCTGTAAGGCCCACCTACTTAAAGTTTGTTTTCCAAGGTCTCATTGAGAGCAGAAAACAGGCGAGAATTTGATGTGCCCTTCAGCTCCATCACTAATACCCAATTGTTCTGCAACTTTATTTGCCTTCAAATGAAGACAAAGTAGTGGGAAGCTATGTGTTTCAGAGGATAGCAAGCCTGTCTGCTAACAACAAGCCCAGGTCTGCTGAGAATGAGTAGTCTCAGGCCCCAGGTAGACGAAGCGTTTTGCCATGACTATTTAGTCCCAAGAAAGATCAATTTTTATAAACCAAGGAACTGATTTCCATGTTGACTTGGTTTTGGGGGCAGAAACAGCCTTCACTATTGGACTTTTGTAAAGGAGCTGAGCCTTGTTAAATGGTTGTAAAATCCTGCTCTATTAGCATCTGGCTGGCAGGAACAAGTAGCATTTATTTCGGATGCCACGGACTGAGCCAGCACCATAAAAACTGACTCTATATTTTGGTTTACCTCAGGCAGAAGATCTCTAAATGGTCATTTAATTTCTGAGTCCTTCCTCTAGAGCAAAGATGAGAAAAATTCTTATTCAGTGCTTTCACTAGAGCTTATCACTAATGGTGTAAGTTCCTTATATTCAAGTGAAAACCACAAATATGTTGAAATAATAATCACAGTAATTATATGGAGACTTTGTTTTTAATTAGAGCTAAATAAAGTAGTTGAAGGATGTAGGCATTAGATGCACAGAGCAGACAGACCTTTCCATGGACCAGGTCTCAGGGCAGACAAGGCTTAAAGCTCAAGAACACGGTCGTGGCACAATTCCAACGGGGGGGGGGGGGGAGCGGGGAAGATGATAACTCACTTTCAAAGTTTTTATGAGCAAAGCAGCACATAAAGTATTTCATTTTGAAGTATTGTCTCCCTTTAGTTTCATATTCCCCAAATTAATTAATATCAAATATGGTACCATTTTATTGACAAGAGTGCCTAAATAATGGTCTATAAATTGTCGTCCTTCTAAAAAGTTTTTCAAATAATATATTTAATTGGGATGTGGAAGGCTCTTTTCTCTATTCCACTAATTTGTTAGCTCTATTTCCCAGTTTATCAGGATTGAGAAATGTTTTATGGGGAAGACAAAATAACATTGATAGCCATCCAACCAATTCCCAGGGAGAATAATGACATTTAGTGGGGAATAAACAACAGAAGATGGCTTGTTTTCACCTAAGCATTTCTATTTTCACTAAACATAAGGAGAGAAATAAATGTTTACTTTGCTATTCAGTAAGTTACCGAATCCCATCAAACACCTGTAATTGTACGTACATACACAGATCTTAAAAGTGTTTTAGTGGTAGGATAAGGAGTAGTAATTAGCTCTGTTCTTCATTCTGAAAATAGGAAAATGTCTATCGAATGCTCATGGAAGATTGCCTCTATAGATTTTCTTGTGGGCTTACATTGGGTAGGAAATATTTCTGAACAGAAAATACCCACGATGGTGAAATATTGTCTCTCCGAAAGCTCTGTGTGTGTGTTTCAGGAGCATACAAACTTCTCAGGCAGCAACAGCTGAATCTTTCTTTGTCTGAAGCTGTTTCCTCCAATACCACCCACACATATAACCCCAACCCTTTGTCAACATCCTGCCATGCTTTACAGCCTGGTTCAAATCACATCTCCTTCAAGAGAAACTTTCTCAGATCTGAAGTTAGAAGCAAAAGAATTTCCCTTTAACAGCATATTCACTTCTCACAAGCATTAGTTAATTTGAGAAGGGGCACGCACCGGAGGGTGCTCTCCCCGTGCTAACATCTATGTGAATTCCTAGTATCTGCAAATGTGGGAAGGGCAGCATGAACCAGGCTACTTATCTGCAGTGGAAGTGAAGCTTGAGGATGGGCTAAGAATTAGTCAGGGAATTAGGGCTAAGGATTAATAGACTCCTGAGAGTCAGTGCTCAGGTTCTATTTCTAGCTCTACCTGAAATTTCTAGGGGAAAGCACTTCACAATTTACAGTTTGGAGACTATCAGAAAATTCTTTCATATGAGAATTTGAACGGCTGATCCTACTATCTCATCTAGATAGTGCACAGAAGTGGCTCAGATGGGAGTCATAAAGCCATGGGTTTGAGGTAGAAAATATACTGCACAGGATTATTGTGAGGATTAATGAGATAATAAATGTAAAGCATACTTAGCTGAGGACCTGGAACTCAATAATCAACTATGATCTAAGGTAGTAATTTTGTCTATTTGTAAATGCAAAAGTCCAAACAGAAACATACAGGTACAAAACTGAATCTTTATAATATAATTGACCCATAGTTTTTACTCCATGAATTAAAAAGCAAAACAACAAAAAATGCACATACACATGTAGACATATGCATGTATACCAATGTAAATGTTTCTACCCATACAACTATCTATCTACCTACAGATAGGGAGATATGTAGATAATGGATATAGACGTATCTGTAAGGACATCTGACAGGGGCACTGAGAAAGAAAGAAAATACTCATAAAAACAAATGCTACTGTTTTACATGTAAAAGGAAAACTGATGGCCTGAGGTTAGGCATGCCCCACTAAAGCTTCCAGACCCCAATAGGATAGTACTAGGACCCACCTGCTACACTTACCTGGCGTTTCTTGTCCACAATAGGAGATGACCGTGACCTGACATGGACAGGGGCAGCCAAGACGTCTGAGCGCTCCAACAGGTCCTCTGCAGACATGGACTTCATGGACTTCCCATCTGCAGCCCCCCATGAGGAAGGCTCCACAGGGGTCCTGTCCACCCTCTGGGTGCCTTTTGGTCCACCATAGTTAGCTCTACTGTGCAGCTCCCTCGGGGCTTGGTCCCCTCGTCGCCATTCCCCTAGACGACCACCAGCAAAAGAGCTGCTGCGATCTCGGGGGGTCTGCAGGAGATCCCCCCCATTCCCCATTGCGGCCACCACTAGGGGAGCCTCCCTGCGGGTCTGCAGGCTGGGCTCCCTCAGTGAGCAGAGGCTGGAGGCAGGGGCGAGGCCAGGGCCCTCCGTCACCATAGGGCCAGGCTGGAAGTAGGTGCTCTGGGCGCGCTCACGCAGGGGCCCCAGCTCCTGGAGGCTACAGCCTGAGGCAGAAGGCCGCTTGCCGGTCTTGCGCTGAATGTAGTCGGCCAGGGCACTCTGCTGGAACTGCTTCAGCTCTGGCCCAGACAGGCTGAGTGTAGAGGAGGCCTTGCCTTCGTGTTCGAAGATGCGTCGCCGGTCGGCCACTGTATTCTCCAGGAAACGCAGCCCCTTCCTCTGCGAGCCTACAGGGGCCAGCTCGGCCTCCTCGGAGACGCCCACCTCATTCATCTTCTCCGGCTCCGAGTAGGAGCGTTTCTTCTGCTCTGGGGTCAGACGCCGGCGCGGCCCCTTCCGGGCAGTGGAAAGCACTGGCCGGCCTCCGGGGTCCGCCTCGGCTGGAGTCACACTGTGGCGCTCGCGGGGCGTGTGCGGGGAGGCAGAGGCCGGTGCCTCCAGGCTCCGCAGCCCCACATGGGCTGAGGCGGGCCGTGGCCGCCAGGGCTTGGAAGCCGAGGATACTCCAGGTTCCAGGTCCCGGCGTCGAAAGGAGGTGGCCCCCAGGACGCGGGACTGCGCGTCCTTAATGCTGTTCCGGTAGGCGCGGCTGAAGGGAGCTTCCTGCACTGGTGACTCGGGCATGCAGAGCCTGTCGTCCTGCCACAGGGCCTCCCTCTCCCCCTGGCTGAAGAGCTGAAAGGTGCTCTGGCTGCGGAGCAGGCGAGCGACCTGCCTCTGGGGCTCACTGCCTTGGAGAGTGGGGCCTCGGCCTCCCTCCACTTCTCTCTTCAGCTGACCACATGGCTGCCAGGAAACCTCTTCCAAATTTGGCTCACCATTTTTGAAGTGCTGCTCCCCACTGCCTACAGTTTCAGTGGATTCGGAAAAATGGATATTGGCTTTTGTCTCCTCAAAGTCATTTCCAGAAGTAGAAGTTGGGAGTGTCCTGTTGGGCCTGTAGTGATGACCGAAGTTGGAGCTGCCCACATTTGGGGGTCTCTGGCTCCCTTGTTCTCGCTGTTCAATCTTGGACACCTTCTCCAGCACAGAGCAGTGGGGCTTCCCGTATTGAAAGCCCTGTAGAACCGAGGTCCCGCCTGAGCTGAGTCTCCTTCGGCCCAGACTAGATGTCTGCTGGTGGGGTGGGGAATGTGGCTCTTCAAATCTTGTATCTGAACTCTGGAAAGAGGCCAAGGCACTGGCTCTCCCCTCAGGCCTTGGGTAGGAAACCAGCCTGTCCAGATGACTCCTGTGATTAGGCACAACTTTCCTTCCAGCTTCCTCTCCCTTCAAACTGACTGCACAGGTGGGCGGGCCCTCCGTGTAGCTCTCCTGGGCTCCCTCTCCTGGCCCCAGGCAGCTCTGCCTTCTTAGGCTCTCAGGAATGTTCTGGAGAGAGAAGAAGGTGGACTTGGTCCTGCCAAAGTTGCTTGACTGGCTCTGGCCTAAGTCTTCTCTCTCCAGCCTCTGCCGGAGGTTGGCATTGTGGTCTTCCTGGAAATCACCCTCCCAAGGTTCTGAGGGTCTGGAAGGTCTCTTCTCTTCACCCTCTTGCCAAGCCTGTGCCTGAGGAGAACTGAGGCCGTGGTGATTAGAATATGGTTTGTTGCTGTGGGTGCTCTTTCTTTCAGTGGGATGCAGGCTGCTGCCTTGGAGGGGTATGAGATGTCTCTTCAAGGTGGTATCTTCTTCACTTTCGGACACTGAAGGGAAATTAACTTTGTAGGGGGCACACTTGGCTGAAGTTTCAAGTTTTCTCTCTACTGGAGACACTGGGTCATGTTCTAATGGCTGGTAGAAGGCAAACCCAGATCTGCTAGATCCATTTTGGTTCCCATTCTCATCCAGGCTAGCCATCTTGTCGAAAGCTCCCTGAGGGGCTGTATATCCACTCTCCTTGGCCAGAGCAGGATAGAGTGTACCATTACTATTCACGGAGGACTGGGGTACCTGGGCAAAGTGTGGCTCCAGAGAAGGTACTGGGTAGATTCCAGTTGGCAGCAGAGGTTGGCCAGGTTGGGCCTTCTGGGTATAATTATGTTTGGGCTTCACTGGAGGGCTATTCTCTGGACTCTTCTCGAGTACTGTATGTAGCTGTTCCTCCACGAAGGAAGATTTCAGGGAGCCTGAAGAGTTTACCTGAGGCCGGCAGTACCGTTTCTGATCAAGGCTAGACCAAGAGCTTGGTCGTTCTCGGTGCCGAAAGGCTGCATAACTGTCACTCCGAGCTGGGGGCAGGGGTGCGCCCACTTTAGGAGGCAGGTTGTCAGTGGCTGTTTCCAAGGAACTGGGGCACTGCTGGTTGCAGGGTGGGGGTGGTGCTCCCTTACCCCGGGGAAAATTATGCCATTTGTCATAGCCTTCGCCATCTGCTGATGCCTGCGCCTCCCTACCTTGGAGAAGCAGGGCTGAAGAGTTCACTTCATATTCTGCTGAGACTCCCCTCCGGGGGTCATAGACTGTCTTGACATAGCGAATGTCTGCCTGCCTCATCCCTTCTAGGAGGCTACCTCGAGCAGAAGGGGCGTCCATGGAGCCTGAATGCTCCCGGCTGGAGATGCCAGGGGGTGGATACTCTACAATGCTAGAGCTGGTGGAGAAGGAGCTGTAAGCTGAGTCTCTCTTGTTATGGAGGTGGCTGAGCTGGTCGATGCTGCTGGTAGACTTGGCAGGGGAAAGCAGATGGCAGGGTGGGTATCCCCCACTGGGCTCCAGGCTCTCCATGCTCCCCTGGGAACTACACTGGTCAGGGCTCCGCCTCAGATAAGCATGGTCATAGTTGGAGAGGTCACTTGTAGAGGAGCTGGAAGAAACGGAGACGAAGCAGTTAGCACTGGTGACCATCCAGGCACAGGACCCAGCTTATAAATGAACTCTTGTGCAAGATGCTTGGTTTTTGGAAGGGTGGGTGAAAGGGCCATATTTGGGATTTGCTCAGCCTCCCTGTGTGTCGTCACTAGGAATAATTGCCCAACACAGTAACCTGTGTGCCTCCAATAAATCACCAGGCTTGTAAGGGGAGGGATGGGGAGCCCAGGGGAAGCCATGTGGCCTGGCACAGGCAGCACACTGGTGTGATTTGCTACGTGCTAGTAATGAGAGAGTGGGGGAGGAAAGGAGAGGAAGAGGAGGAAGAGTGACCGAGACAAATTTTGTGTCTCTTAGGGCTATTTGTGGGAAGAAGGGGAAAAGCTTAGTAAGAGACTAGGCATGTAAAAGGGTGAGGGAGACTTTGTGTGCACATGTATATGTTTTTAGTTAGTATCTTTCCTTTTTATGGAATTGAAGGCTACACTCTGGCAATCTTCCTAGAATCTCTACCAGAGACAATTTGTTTGTGGTGAAAAAGCTAAACAAAAGCAGAATGAGAGAGAGGGGGAGAAAAAGAGAGAGAGAAACAGTCAGAAACAGCCAATGAAAGAGGGAGGGAAGCTTTATTAAAATTTGACTCATAGGAATCCTTCACCTATGGGTGACTTCTGAAGCAGTCTCCTTGCACACTTAAGAAAGTCTGACCTTCTCATTGATAAGCTCCTCCGCTGGTTTTCAGAACTTTGCCTGGAGGAGAGGGAATGACTTACTACTTGCATGGGCACTCCAGAAAGTTGCCTCAAAACAAACTTACTTATTATTTTTAATTATAAACTCAAAATATACTTCACCCAGCATAGTGGGGGAGGGAGGACATGAAAAATGAGTAAGTGATTTAAAAATCAAATAGCAGTGTCTCTATTTCAAACATTTGTGATTCACTATTTTCTGAAAAAGGATAAATCACTAAGACTTCTTACCTAAGATTCCCATTTTTAACAAACAGGTATTTAAACACTATTAAAATACATGTAGATAGTATATATCTATATCTCATATAAGTAGGTATGGTGTCTTATAGACTGGGTATGTAAAATGCTTTATGGCTGGTCTATCTCTAATGTATATAATAGCAAGAGACTGGAAGGGCCACATACTGAGTCAAAACTAGTGCTAGAATTCAAGGAACAGAAGACTACCTTTTCAGCAATTCACCTCAAAAAGATAATTTTCCTCTATCAGAGAAAGTCTACTTACTGATTAGAAGACCCTGCTGTTGGAGGATTAGGTATAAATCCAAGGGAGAAGGGAAGGAAGTACTCCTTCACCAACCAGATTAGGGAACTCAGTCCCAGTGCACAATAGCATGGCCCATGTTACCGTCCATTCATCACCCCTGCTCACCCTTCTTCAGTTCCCCTCTAATGAAGAGGTTGTGTTACAAAATGCACTAGACATAGCTCATGTTGAAGCTAACTCCATATGACCCACTAATGCTTCCTTTTATTTTCTCTAACAGAAGATCAAGAGTTACTACTTCTGGAGAAATGGAGGCAGTACATCTATTTCTCCTTGAGTTGATTTTGCTCACCAATTCCATGTAGGCAACAGACACTACTTAATCTTCTTCCCAATTGCTAAGAATTTTAGCGGTCTTACACTGAGAGGATATACAACTCTAATATGGGAATACACACAAAAAAGTCAAAATGAATAACCTGATGGTTAACTGAAACATTCACTGTTGAGTGAGAGGAAATGTTATCACTAACACATCTCAAAACCAAATGCCCAAAAATAGATGACTGGATCAAGAAGATGTGGTACATATACACAATGGAATATTACTCAGCAATCAAAAAAGATAAACACATGCAGTTTGCAGCAACGTGGATGCAGCTAGAAGGGATCATGCTCAGTGAAATAAGTCTAAGTTAGAAAGAAAAAGAAAATACTGGATGGTCTCACTCATAGCAGGAATTTAAAAAACCTAAATAAGGGACCAGGAAAAAGACTAATACAAAGTAAAAATCAAAATCAACAAGCAACTATAAACCAGAGACTCACTACTGGGGGGCGAGGGAGAGGAAGGACTAGGGTCAAAATAAGGTGGGGTGCAATTGTATGGGGAGTATAACCAAAATGAAAATGCATACATTGTGCAAAAATGAAAAATGATGTAAGAATTATATAAAATAAAATATTAAAAATATATAGATGGTGTCCAGCTAGAAATACGTAATCACTGGAATACATATCTGTAACCAACAGCATACTGTAATCACCCTGCTTTATTTTCTTCAAAGCACTTACCACTGCTTGACATTACATCATATTCCTTTGGTTATATGAAAAAGACTAATTGTATCTATAATGTTAAGATCCTGAAGGAAGTATGACAAAATGCTTGTTGATATGGTAGTAGGTCCATATAGTCTTATACACCACTCTATTTTGTGCTTGAAAGGATTTTTTTAAATACTTAAAACACAGCAAAGAACACAAAACAAATGTATGCAAACATTTTCTAAAGTGTACTCCCAAAACATTAATTCCTTGGATGCTCAAATGTGTTTGGAAAACACTGGACAAAATAAGTCAAACAATTTTATTTACTGCAAGACTTGGAGTCATTAATAAACTTGTTTATGTGATGTTCAAGAAGGAAAAATATACTAAGCAGTGTTTTCTAAACTTACTTGACACCAAAAATTTTTCCTTAAGAGTATCTGATAGATTATTAGAACACTCCTTGAGAAACAAATATAGAGTTGGAGATTTTTATTCAGTGTTATATCCTTAATTATTAGAAATCACATGAGACATATGAGTAGTGAATACATATTTGTTAGATGAACAAATCAATGAATAAGTACTGGTACTGTCTATTTTGATACTGTTATTTCAGCCTCTCACAAGGTGACTGGAGGATGTAGCTTTTCAAGACATCCTTTAATACTTTAGGATCACTGTGTGAGATTTCTGTAGGACAGCAAAAAGATAGTGAAATAGTATGACAGGAAGCAGATGAAATAAAGTTTCAGTGGAATTCCAGAGGCACTCCAGCTTGCAGACTGTTAAAATTATGTCTTCAGTCTCTCTCTACTTCTTTCTTCTCACTCTTCCGCCTACTCACTCCTCAGCTCCCTCCATCACTTGCTTCTTTGTGAGAACAAATCTACCAATTTAGGACTGAGCTAAAAA